AGTTTACATCTTCCTTAACTGCTCTTTCCCAGGTAAATTCCAATTATACTTGACATCCAGCTAAGAGGGCCCATCTCTTCTCAGTTCTTTCCTAGTCAGTATGTTTAGCAAATATTTATTGAGCCCTTACTGTGGGCAAAACATTGTACTGGATAATTGGGGAGAAAAACAGATAATTCCCTTATTCAATAAATGTCTACTGAGCACAATCTAGTGAATCATTACAGTATGGCCTCATTGTTTTGTTTGAGGTGTATTCTTCGTAACAATATTTTGCACCATTCATATCTTGTAATTATAAAACCCAATATACTATCAAAAATAATTTTGTGGTTATCTGCCATTTAAAAGTATCCAGTATTTTCTGTTTGCATCCATTAATACAAATAATGAAAAGATGATGTTTTAATCTGTAATAAACTGGTTTATTGTGCAGTGACTGTAATATACTAGAGTTATATTAAATTGTTAGCTCTGCCTCATCAATCACGTATTAGGAAATAGTCCCCAAAATAAGTATTTAACTTTGCATTAGATATCAAGGAGACTCTGGGTGCTATAATTAGATTATTTTGAGGCAGACAGAGAGCTGTTGTCCCGGCTGATTTAGTATGTTCTGTAATTGAGAAAATGTTCACCAAATTATACTTTTTAGTGATTTACATGTACATTTTATAGGGGACATGTTCTGTGTATAGTGAATAAATAACTTTTATAGCATCACAAAATGTTTTGGATTCCTTAGTTCCTTATTAGGATATGAAGTTTGTTTACCTATATATTGACTCCATCACATATTTGATTTTTGTCATATTTTTGCCATGTATTTAAAACTGTTCATATAAAATTACTCATCCGAAAGTATGGAAATGGAGTTTAAGCCTTTATAATAATTTTGCATAAATAGCATAAAGTAACGTAACTTAAGGGAGGTGTAAAATGGAGGTATTTTAATCCTCATTTTATTAAAAAATTTTTTTTTCTTTGGAGACAGGGTCTGTCTCTGTTGCCCAGGCTAGATTGCAAGAGAGTCATCATAGCTCACTGCAGCTTCCAACTCCTGGGCTCTAGGCCATCCTCCTGCCTCAGCCTCCCAAAGTAGCTGGGACTACAGGCACACACCACAACACCCAGCTGTTTCTTCCCCCCCCTCTTGGTAGAGACAGGGTCTCCCTGTTGCCCAGGCTGGTCTCAAACTCCTTGGCTCAAGCGATCCTCCTACCTTGGCCTCCCAGAGTGCTGGGATTACAGGTGTGAGCCACTGTCCCTGGCCCCATTAAAAATTTTTTTGAAACTTGGCCGAGATCACATAAGTAAGTGACAGATCCTAAGTTAGGATCCATAATTTTTCACCTGGTTCATCTTTATTGCTGTTTTTTTTTAATCAAATGAGAAAATGTTTTTATAGCTTTATTTTCATGGAGATAATAAAATTGATACGGAATCTAGAGTTTACTTAAAGCAAAAATGACTATAAATTTAATTGCAAAAGGTTATTTTTTTCATGCCTTTACATAATCATTAACATTGAGGTGGTGGTTCCTGTGATTTGAGGTTCTGTGTATTTTTAAAAACAATATGTAGAGTTCATAAATGTTTTGCCCTCTACCTCCCTCCTCCATTTCCTTTTGAATTAAGGTTAAAACGTTCAAGGAGGAAGAATTAAGTTGCATGTTCAATTGAGATCTTGTTCAAAAAAATATTGGTGAATACATACAATAACAATACTTGATAGTTCTCTAAAGTTTTAATATAAATCAGAAAAGGCCCATGTGGTTTTGGCAGCTGTTGTAGAATGAATTGCTTTAGAGTGTTTTCTGTGGTTGTTTCCATTTATATTCAATACTGTCAATATTGAGCATTTAAACATGCCTAAAAACACTCGTGGGAAATCGGTACTAGTCCCATTTTACAGATCAGAAAATTGTCATTTGTGTAATACCTACCATGTGATAGGCTTCCAGATTATACTGTTCATTTCTCACAACCTTACAAAGTAATGGATAACTTTTCTGAGTGAGAAAGAGATTAAATGCAACCCAAGATATTATAGCTGTTGTGGCTCAGAGACTTTACAGCCTGGGTTTCTAAATCTTAAATCTCTCATAGAGATTTTTCCATAGTATTACATTTTAACCATGTTTCTGTTTACAGAGCCTGAGATTATATTCTGAAATGGGAGGCTGTGAGTTAAGCTCCATTAACAATTTAATAGCATTCTACTAGGGGGACCATCAAAGCTTTTAGAAATCCCAGTGAACTGTTCTCATTTTAGATGGTGATGACTTGATAAATAAGGCGAAGTAACCTGTTTGTCTTCAATTACTGACATTTACAAGACATTCTGCTAGTCTCTATGGAAAAGGTTCCTTTTCTTCAATTTTTCTTTTGCCCCTTCCTCTAACAGTGTTGGTTACTTTTATTATGTTTGTGTGTATTTGTAACAGCTGTTCACCCTTGTGTTAAATGATGAGGATTTTTCTTTTTTGGAATAAAAAGCAAGGCATGTAAATTCATTTCATTGAGAATGGAAAGCAGTTTGTAAAGAAGTAAAAGGCCTTTGTATCTAGCTCTTTGCAGATCACATTTCTTTGAATGCTGGAGAGTGAAATAAACTGGTCTAGGAGCAAAAAAATCTTGGGTTTTCTTAGGTTTTGCTCTATCTTAGATTTGTGACTACTGGGTAGACTTTTTCCTAAATTGTGTAAGAGGTTTTAAAAATGTACTCTGTCCCTCTGGCTTTACAAAGAAATAGCCTATGAGAATGCAACTAAAACACTAGCAAGTGTGTGAAACTTATCCAAAACTCTTCGATTTTTTCCCACCCTGTGCCTGTTTGGGGGAAGACAGCTTATCAGAATTTAAGTTCAAGGATAGGTTATGGATCTGGATTCCATCATCCCATACACTGCCATCAAAAAGATAAGACAAATTCAAGTTACAGCATTTACTGAAGGCTCACAGTATGGCTGATTTGAGCAGCCCTACATGATAGGTTCTCTGTACCAGCTACTTAAATTCCTGTTGCCATACTTTCTGTAGGCTAACCACAACTTTATTAGTATCTTTCTGTTTATGAGATGTTCATATCCTGAACCCTTTATTCAGGTTACCCTTAAGCTGTTATCATTTTTTAAGTAATCAAGAGCCTTGGCCAGGTGTGGTGGCTCATGCCTGCAATCCTAACCCTCTAGGAGGCCGAGGCAGGATTGTTTGAGCTCAGGAGTTTGGAGACCAGCCCGAGCAAGAGCGAGACCCCATCTCCACTAAAAATAGAAAATGAGGAGGTTGCCTGTAGTCCCAGCTACTCGGAAGGCCAAGGCAGGGGAGTATGGCTTGAGCCCAGGAGTATGAGGTTGCTGTGAGAGATGACCATGCTATCCTGGGGTGAGAGTGAGACTGTCTCAAAAAAAAAAAAAGGCCTTTTCCATTCCCACCCTCCATTCTGTGATCACTTTTACCCATTGAGTCAACCCCAAACCAAAAATCTAGTATATTGCTGTATTTCAGTGTATAGATCAAAAACTAACAATGCCTAAACTGAGAACTGTTCAATCCAGTGAAATTTCAGTGCCAGTTAAAGAATTTGGCAATCCTTAGCATTGTTTTTCATAGAAATATCACTGGAAACCTAACAGGAAAAAAATGAAGACCTAAATGTTGGTCCTAACCTACCTTCAAATCAATCATTTCCTACAATTTGCATGAAAAAACATACAGCCTTGCCATGGGATTACTAATGTAGAATTTAAGGAATTATTCTTGAACTAGTTTAAGCTGCCTTTATTTGGAACCTATTAGAAAGTGTGTGGTGGTTGTGATACTTTTCTTCCAAAGGTCCCCTTCTGTAAAGTATACTTTTATTTGTCAAATATTTAAAACACAGGGTTTTTGTCAACTTGAGGACTTCTGTGATTTTCCTAGAAACCTAAATCATCTTAGAATGTAGAAAAAAAAAAAAAATTAAAACCCTGCTTTACTCAACTTGACTTTGAAAAGCTTTGTGAAATTTTCCAAGTGTGGCCTTTTTTTTAAACTATTGGTACTGCTGGGAGGGGAGCCCCAGGTAGTTGCCTAATTATATAGCTGTCAAACTAATCCAAACACCTTCTTTACCAGCAAATTACTTGCCTCTTTTCAAACCAACAGTCCTATCACATATTAAATTATGAGCATTCTAAGAATAAATATTAGGCAATCATAACAACTGTTTTTTAAATAAAAACAAGCCACTGGGGAGAAAAAACAATTTTTATTTTTAAATTTCATGCTTCAAATTTGTATTATGTACGTTAAGTACTATATAAACTTTAAGATATCAATATTTGACTTGGGCGATATTCATGTGAATGTAGTTGAAGAACTACAACAGCTACTCTGCTTATAAACATCAAAAAAGGTGCCAAATAAGAAAATAGGACATTAATAATCCAAGTTTTTTAACTGATTCACATACTTTTTTAACTTGCTATTAGGTTAAGCCGTTATATTTAGCATTTACCCTTACAGTTGGTAAAACATGTTATCAAAGTATCATGCAAGAAATTACATCTTCTGCATAAAGTAGTCCCCTGGGTTGCACTTACTTGTGACAAACAAAAACCAGTGGTACCTTACACTAAACAATCTTTGTATCATAGGTTGTAAGAATTGGTGAAAGCAAAATGAATCTTTAGGGACCCTTTAATATCATCTTTTGGCTTAAAGAAGGGGGGAAAAAGTCCCATGCTGCATTTCACCTCTTAAAAATGAAGTGTTTTAGCAGCTTAAATCTTTTTAGTTGTAATATAAAACTTATACTAGGCTTTACTTTGAAATATAGTTTACAACCAAAACAATTATACACACTGGCACTTTAGCACAAGGGCAAACTTTAAAAACAAATTATTTTTGGACCTTTAAAATTAGGCCATAGTATAAAAAACAGTCCGTGGTCTTATATTCAGCAAATTCTTACTAAAATAATTCTATTTTTGTAGGATAAAGGCCAAGAAAACTTCACATATGCTATAAGTTTATTACATGTATTTACATGGCTCTTTCTTCCATAGGTACTTAAAACTTTCACATTATACAACTCCCCACTTAAGCAAGCTTTGCAGGGATGATGAGGCCAGATCACTGTCAGAATAGCTTATGCAGTGCTGTAATACAAAAATGTATTTTGAAAGCTATTCAGTGACCATTAAATACTGTTTCTATAAAAAATGGTTTTGGTGCATTTGTTAGCAGACACCTATCCATGCATTAAAAAATAGGGCCATCGGGGTATTTTGTGCCTCATTCTAATAAACCCCAAGAACCCCTTCCACATCCACCACTGCACAATTCACTAAAATGCAACCACTAAGAAAAACTCACATTTTCTTCTGGCAGTGCATCAAGTTGTTGGCATATTACTGGTGTGGCTGTTTCTAGTATATTGAACTTTGAAATGTTCAACTGGTTTTCAATCCTTGTATGTCTTCGCTAGATGCTTATAATCTGATTCACTAACTCAAGTAAATCTAGTGAGATCCATGAATGATAAATTACTATCTTTCCCCCAATAAACAACAGAAAAAGTTGATTCCTTTACCATTCCCCAAATCTAAACTTGAATAGTTTCACTTACAAGATACTCAGTCGAGAATACTTATTACCAAATACAATTATTAATTTAGTTACTTTAAGTTGCACTGATACTACCATTACATCACAGTGCACACAACACGTAAATGAGATGAAGTCTAATTATATTTTTTACATTAATTAGTTCTACACAAAAAGATTCCCTAGTGAATCTGTTTCAGACCAATTGACTATCCATAAACACCTAAGTTTTAAAAATGCTACTTTGTTATTTTATATCTGTACTTTAAGTAAGGTTTTAAGTTGAAATGTCATTATTTCCTTATCTGAAGGATTAAAGGAAACAGGAACCCAGTGGCTTGGTGGTTTGGGAAGAACACTTGGTGATGGCGGCTCACTAAATTTGGCTCCAGCATAGTTTTGATTAGCTTGAGATTTAAAAAGTAAGCTGGGACTTGATAAACTAGAGTTCCAGTTTTGATTATTTGGAAAATTTTTGTTCTTCCCCCCATTTTGCATGGCCTGCCATGCAGCTGCTGATGAGTTATAACCATGTCCTCTTTCTTTTTTCTTATGAACAATCTTCATCTGGGAATTCTGATCCTTGGTCTTCTGTCTATTAAGCGGTTGTTGGTTCTTACTAACATTTCTAGATTGAGGGGCTGGAATGTTATACCTCTCTGCGCCACCCATCTTCAGCTTCTTTGTCACCTATAAGTGAATGGAAACAAATACTGAATAAAAAAAATTCCACTAAGAAAAGTTACAAATCATCTTCAAGAAGCTTCTATACCCCCAATTTATAACTCTGTAAGTCTTGGAGAAACCTTAAAAATAGGCTATTCAGCTGCTTTAACTCAAAAATTAAAGCAAGCTGTTCACAGTTACATATGCACAGTTGATTTCCTTCCCTAAGAAAAATGAGCTTACCCCACATACGTGAATAATACTCTATTTAAAAATAAAATCTGGTTTAGGATGGGTCCATCATAGAATGTTTCCCCCATTATAATGTGAATTTTTATACCTTTCAGTCTGCTTCTCAGATTGTAGGATTTCCACTACCTGTCCTCTTCCTTGCTGCCAAGCCCAGGATAATAGGTGTTGCTTTCTGAAGGATCCTTTCCTTTGTCTCAATACAGAAGTTTTCATGGGCCGATCTGCTGAGTTCAGCCTAGGAGCTGAGGCCAACATCTGAGTCTCCTCAGCACACAGGTTTGAGAGAAGCCCTAGCTAGAAAAGTCAAGATTATTTCATTACTTCGATTCAAAAACAGAGAGAAAGCGATCATTTAGATTCACTACTGAAATAGTTGACTATAAAGAATGGGTACTTCCTTAACTAAAAGGTAGAAAATAAAGTCTTTGAAGATAGCTTCTTTGACCTCAGAACCCCCATCATTTAAAAACTTTTTTCATCCTTGAGCCTCAGGAACTCTGGGCAATTTTCGGAAGGATGTCTGCAAGTCCTACAAAAAAGTTTTGTTTTTCTTTTTCCTAGGAAAGACCTTTCAGATTTTCTCACGTAATTTGTGACCAATATGTTAAGTCAAACTAGGGAAACGTTAATGTCATACAAAGAAACTGGCTTAGAATTGATTTTCCTAAAGAGACCACCAGAATTTTCCAATCTTTCGACACCACGTACCCGTTTTCATCTCCTCTCCCAATAAGACATCATGCAGTGCTTCCTTTGGTTATGTACACCCTCGACTCCTCCCCGTTTTAAAGTAAGTTTTCACAAGCCTAAACAACCTAAGCCAGTGACCCATCTTAAATATATGAAAATGCCTCCCTACAATGAACAGATTAACATTCAAGGTTTCGTTTTCATTTGATGTTCCAAGAAACCAAGCTACCAAATAGTTAAACTCCCTCCCTTTCAAAAGGGTAAGAGAGCCTTCCAGTTTTAATAACCCTAAATAAATTACGAGTTCCGCACCTTGAGTCATCACAACTCGAGCCCGGAAAACTCGCCGCCTCCGACGCGGGCTTGGCTTCCGAGTGGTTCCATCGGCCTCGGGCCCGGCCCGGGGTCCTGGTGCTCCCGGCCGCCCGCCCCGCCTGGGTCCCCGCATCTCCCCTCCTCGCCGCTTTCCCCCAACAATGGGGAGCGCGGCCGCCAACATGGCCGCGCCCGCGACGCCGCCGCCACTCACCGACTTCAAGCTCGGAACTAGGACAGCGACTCCCTCTCGACGGCGAAGCCTCCCTCCTTTTCCAGGGAGAGACGAGGCACGGATTGAACAAAGCCCACGAGCACCGATGCGCTAGTTGCTGACCACCCAGTGTCTCCTGCCCAATCTCCTCCTTCTGCCTCTACCGACAAAATGGAGGCAGTGGCGAGCGCAGAAGCAGGGCCAGGCGGCTCCGCGGCCAATCAAAACACGACGGCGCGGAGCCTGGCCAATGAGAAGCGGGCCACCGCCTGTTGCTGGGGCCGGCCGGGGCCGAAGGCGGGGAGTTGGTTGTTGCAGAGGGTTTGAAATCCCCCCTTGGGAGGAGCATGTCGGGAATAACTGCCCCGTCCGGAGCGGCCGCCCTGCCCTGCCCCGCGGTTCGGGCCAACTCCGACGGCTTGCCTGCATTAGGGTGTCCCGAGCCCCTGGCCCACCAAGGCTCCCTCCGCGAGCTCTTGACTCTTCCCGAGACGCGGCCCTGTACGCTCGGCACCCGGGCCGCGGCGGACTCTGCCCTCGCCCCGCTGGGCCGCGGTCGGCCGCCTGCTCAGTTCGCCGCCCTTAGAACCCCCCGGGACATGAGCGGAGGGCGTTTGGTTCTAGCGTTGGGTGCACCGAGTCGCGTGACCTATTTTTATAGATGGAAGATACTAAAAAAAGTTGCTTTCCATGGCCAAAGCCCTGCCCACCCCTGTCCGGCCTTTGCTGCTGGCACGCCTCTCATTCTGTCCCTCAGTTACTTCGCGTTCCCAAAGCTGGCGGATCCCACCGGTTCCCTCCTGTCCTCCCCACCCTCCAGCCTCGCAGTTAGTCCAAAGTTGCCTCCCTGCGAAGGCATTTCTGACACACACGGATCGAGTTACTCACTTCCTCCTTTGTGTCCCCAGTGGTCTTTAAATTACAGCCTTTTATCACACCGTATTATAATTACTTGTGTCTGTATCTACTTCCACCTATCCCTCTGCCATACATCTTCGAGGGGCAAAGCCAGGTTTTATTTTTCTGAGCACCGCACCTCGCACATCTCAAGTACACAGTAAGTTTGCTGGGAGAATGAGGACTGCTGCTTTTATTCCCCTTTCTGCCCCATTTCTAAGTGGGAAAAAAGGGGAGAAAGAGTATATTCAGTTGATTATGCCAGCAAAGTGCAGGGAAGGGGAAAAGGGCAACATATTTGAAGTACATGTATAGGCAACCCAAAGTGAATGTTTTAAAAGAGAAGACTAATTTCTGTGAACATGAATAATTCTGGGGTAAATGGGCCAAAATCAATCTCATTACTTTACACTCACCATATATACACGTATATACATAAACTTTCATCACAGGATTTATATACACTCACTTTTTATAAATCTCACATAATTTGTTTTCTAAACTTCAAATTTTTGCCACCATCACCTCCCAATCCAGCCCAAACCCCCGTGTTCTTCTAGTCATGGATCTTAGGAAAAGTTACTGCATCTTAAAAGATGCACTTTGTTAATCTAAGTTGGCAAATTGAAGAGATATTTTTGAGATGGGGACTTTCAGGTGCTAATCATAGTCAAGTAAGATGTGCGTGATAAGCCATCAGCTGTCTTAGGGAAATGTAACATTTCCCAAACATTCAAGAAACTTGCTTAGACATCAAGCCAGATAATCGCCAGGCTGTATTTAATGGGTTCTTAATAATGTTGCTGTTTTAAAAAGCACTTCAGTGGCTCCAAATTATAATATAGAATAAAACCTAAACTCTAAACATTTAGCAAATTATTCAAAGCTATTGCCATCTAGAATTAGTATTTTTTGCTGTTGTTGTTGTCAAGTGAAGCAGTGGGAGGGAACAGGAACAAAGGAATCTGTGACTGGATGTGATCGATTAGTTGTAAACACCGCTGCACTCAGACCATCCTAGAATCAATCTCTCACTCTTCAGCCACCCTCTGAATCTTACCTGTATAGACACACGTCTGACGTATTGGAAACTTACAAACATATGGGTAAGCTATACACTTACACTGCCCCCTACCCCGTGCTAAGTTGTTTTGCTTACATCATTTCATTTAATCCTCACAACCATTTTACAGGGTAGGTGCTATTTTGCTCTCCACTGTACAGGTGAAGAATCTGAAGCTCAGACAGTTTAAAGCTGAAAGCCACGCACTAAGCCTACAGAGTCCAGGCTCTATATGCCCTCCAGCAACTGTGTCTGAGTCATTTCTATGTCCTCCCAAGCACTTAAAAGGTACTTTGCCCAGAGCAGACACTGTTGCCTGGGCTGCAGGGCTGCTTGGACAGCGTGAAGCCTCCCATCCTACCATCTGCTGAACCAGTTTCTCTGCCAGAGGTCAGAGTCAGACTACCCTCGGGAGAGCACTGTTAAAGCTTTAACCATCTCCCAGGATCCCAGTACTCTCTCAGTATAGCTCCAACCTCATCATTCATTAGTATTTACCAAGTGCCCACAACGGGTCAGAGCTGGAAAACGAGAGTTAAAATAATACCCTCTTTGGGACATCTGATGCAGCCTCTGCCTGTCCCCGTGTGGTCTTTAAATCAGTTCCACCAACACAATCCAATTAGTGGTTCTCAATTCAAATAAGGAAAATGTTGATACAAACAAACAGCTCTCAGGATATGGATCAGCCATACTGGGAGCCAAATGCATAATAAATACATGAGTGTTCAATACAAAACATTTAGCAAAGATTTATCTTGTACCTATTTTGTGCCAGGCACTCTGCCAAGCCCTGGGGATACAACAGAGAACAAGGCTCCATCCAGGCACTACAGGAACTCAAAAGCCGTTCCCTTTGCTGTTTATCCGAGAGGGAAACTGGTGTCTGGGGAGATTGATTTCCAACATTCTTTCCCTGAGAGTCAAGGACAGGCAATGCCAAAATCAACCTGTCAACCTCACTAAGGAGGTGCAGGTTACAGACATGGTGCCCAGACTCTGCAGAAAAAAGTAGAAAAGGAGAGGTGAGCCATGTAGCAGCGGGAGCCAAAATCAACGCAATTGTTAAGTAAACATTATCTACTAATCTGTAAAAAGTGGAGCTAAAAGAAGGTGTTTCTGAAAGCGCAGCTTTGGAGGATGGGCAGATTTTAGGCTGAAGCTTACAGTACTTTTGACCCCACAAGGTGGGGTGCCAGGGTGGGTGGGGTGATCATACCTTTGGAACAAATCTGCAGTGGAACTGACTGGCTGGTTTCAAACAAAAGCTGGTTTGGTTGTTTTTCTCCCTCAAGCTCATCTATGAATTCACATAGTCAACTTTGAATGCGTGGAGATCTGTCAGCTGAGGGCTTATTTTAGTTAGAAGAAGCAAGCAAATTCTTGGAACCTGCCAGAGAGTAAAATGGAACACCTGCCCAATGTTTTGATGTGCCTCAGGGCTCTGATCTTGTTGCCAGACTGGTATCAAAACACACAGTCCTCCCCGCACCATGAATTTGTTTCCTGGGGAAGCATCTGCTGCCGGCCACTACACGCTCACTGGTTCCTGAGAAGTTGCAAATCTGTTCTCAGCCATTGCAGCCATTTCGGTGTAATTACTAAATGGGGCACAGGAAGTCAATGCTAAACTCCCACGCCTCCTGTGACTCTGATCCAGGGGTTCAACCTTCAAGACCTTTCAAGAATTCTGATACCCAGACCCCAGCCTAGAATCTTTGAAGATGGGTGCGTGGGACTCCAACCCAGCTGATTCCAATGTCTCACTCTAGATGAGAACTACTGCTCTCAGTTTTTCTAAGGGCAATCCCCGAGTGCGGAGGTGTATGTATAGAGACATCCTTTTTCCTGTGTAATTCTCAAAGTTAGTGATCACACCAAACAACCCAAAAAAGTGTGAAACTAGCTCCTGAACACCCAGGGTTATTTAGATTACCTTTTAAAAGTGTTTTTCACACAGGTGGACTCCCAGGCTCAGCCGTGACGCTCCCCTGCTAGTCTGTTGATCCCAACCATCCAATTCTCGGCCCACTCCAGGGTCTGAACATCAGTCCTCAGGCCAGAGGCGGCTGGACAGGGAAAGAATGAGCAAAACAGGCGGAGACTGGCAGCTGAATTGGTAGAAGAAATCTGAAACACCCAATACTCAGCCCCCCAAAAATAATGGAATCTGGGAGCCATCTACTTATGCGTAAGACCGTGACAATACCTGTCTCCCAACATTCACATCCATGGCATGAAGAAGAGACGTGCCATGCCCATCTCAGATATAATGGGAGGCTCTAAAGAGAATCAAATGAGATATGAAATCACTGAAGCTCCCACAGTGTTTGCTCAGTGACAGTCTCTAAACTCCTGTAAACATGTTCGCTTTGTTGCTTTCTGATTTTCATTGGAATAGCACCTAGCATTTTTTTTTTTTTTTTTTTTTGAGACAGAGTCTCACTGTGTTGCCCGGGCTAGAGTGCCATGGCGTCAGCCTAGCTCACAGCAACCTCAAACTCCTGGGCTCAAGCGATCCTCCTGCCTCAGCCTCCCCGGTAGCTGGGGCTACAGGCATACGCCACCATGCCCAGCTAATTTTTTCTATATATTTTTAGTTGTCCAGATAATTTCTATTTTTTAGTAGAGACGGGGTCTCGCTCTTGCTCAGGCTGGTCTCGAACTCCTGACCTCGAGCGATCCTCCCACCTTGGCCTCCCAGAATGCTAGGATTACAGGTGTGAGCCACCATGCCAGGCCAGCATTTTTAACATATTCTAAATCTACACCATCAAAGTGCTTTCGCATGTATTGTTTCGTTCAATCCTACCATGAGCTCTTCAAGATAGGCAGGGTGGCCATTCTATGGATGAGAAAACTGAGGCTCAGGGAGACACTTTCAAGTCTGCAACAAAGATCTTGTATGTTAAACATTTTCATTGGCCTTTTAGCTTGTTACATAAGTAACATATTAACTATAGAAAAAGCAGATATAAAAATAAAATAAAAATTACTCAACATCTCACCTCCCAGAGATAGCGATTATTA